TATTCAAGACACATGTTAAATCACAATCACCACTTCCAGATTTTAAATAGTTTTTCCTTGACTTTTTTTTTTTTTTTTTTTGGGGGGGTTTTTGCTATAGGACCCCTGAGCTTCCCAAACAGACAGGGAAAAAAAGCAAACAACCCCCCCCCCCCCAGGGGGGATGGCCATGCCACAATCCCTTCTCCTCCATTCTCCTCTTGGGATCTTGGGCATGCACGCACACACGCCCGGTGTGAGTTTAAGCCACCCACCGGGTCCAGAACTCGAACCGCGGTCGACTACGTGGGTGTCCAGTGACATAGCCATTACACTAACTGCTGGTCCCTGTTTTTCCTTGACTTTTGTGTGATACAAATAGAAGGAAAACAGGCTTCCTTTTTTTAATGATAGGAGTAAAGAGGATTAATACTGATAGGATCAATACTGATATGATTAATAAATAATAATCATTATTTGCATTTGTAACATTGCATCATATCACACAGTCTTTAGGATTGTCAAGTTCTTTATTACATGGAAACTGAAAACTTGAAATAAGCGAGACATCAACTAGGACATAATTTTATTCTTGATGTACTTAAAATTTGTTTTCTCTTTTACTGTCAGAGGGCATGTGTGCTTGCGAGAGACAAAGAGAGGAAGAGAGAAAGAGAAAGAGAAAGAGAGAGAAGGCCCCCTACCTCCATGGCACATGGCCATGCCACAATCCCTTTTCCTCTATTTCTCCTTCCCATCAGGATTTTGGGCACCCATGCATATGTACCCAGGTAGTTTTTGCAAGCAGCCAGGACCAGGATTTGAACTGGTAAGTCACATGGGATCTAGCTTTCTATGTACAGTGTGTAACCACTGTGCAACACAGAGCTCTCCCACTCTCACAAAAAGAACCTCTATTCTTGATAAGACCATTTCTGTTTCAGCAGATTTTTAATTTTTTTTTTAATGGTTGGTCTGATTTGTCCTTTCTAAATAAGTCACAGACAAATGCAGAAGCCACAGCCCATGTGTGGATAAAGTCTCACTTCCAGGCAGGAGGTATTGTGATCACTGTCACAAAATGGAGGGAACCATGGAATGAGATCTACGGATATTAAGATGGTTGGTCCTGCTTTTGTATAAGTAGGAAAAACAAATTCCTGCCCAACAGGTAGTGTTTTCTTCCTAATTTATCAAAGTCATAATGTCAAGTCTGAAATTCACACGTCTGCCTTTTAATGTTTACTTACTATGTATCAGACTAAATCTTAGCATTAGTGCTATGCCTCCTAGGAGGAAGATTTCAGTTGGTTTTGAATAACTGGTAGTGTTTCCCTTCTTAGTTTTGGTCAGCAATGTGTATACCTGTAAATGAAAAGCTCAGATTCTCTGTGTGGGCCGTAAAATGTAAGTACACAGAAAAACATTTGTACATATTCAGTACGTATATTTAAGTTCAGGCATAAACCTAAAGCATATACTTTTTCCAGTGTTTGAAATGTTTTCTCAAGGATTTTCAACTTTAGGATTTTACAGTAGTAATTAAAACCTGTTTAGGGTTTACCTTTCCTATCTAGTTGTCTTTGGTACTATGTAACTGCAAACTTAGCAAAAGCTCAATCAGTCTTCTCTCATTCCTGTGAGTTTGCTAGAGATGTTCCCTTTTTTTTATTAGAATTTCAACGCAAGGACTACCCTCCTCAGGGTTGACAGCTTTGAGACCAGAGGAAGAGTACTGTGTTTGTGGAAAACTGGAAAAATTTGAGTCTATGCATTTAACTTTGGGTAAACTTAAGTTCAATGTTCTTGTTAGTAGACTTCCTCTTTTCTTTATACTTCCATTTACCTATGTGTACAATGGGGCTTAGAACTGTGATGTGGGTTAATTGCGATGATACATTTAAAACATTAAACTGATCAGGCCCTTTTCCCTTTCCATCTAAATGCCACCTTCTCTGCAAAAACTCCTCTGGATCTGACCTCTCCACACAAAACTACCCCAGCTAATGATAATCTCAACTCCATTCAAATTCCCACTGCACCTGTCCCTCAAGAACTCCACCAAACTGTAGTCTGCACTGTGTTCTTCATTCATCCAACAAATATTTATTGAATACCTACTATGTTCCAGGTATGTGCATACATTTTTTTCCTTTTTTTCTCTAACTAGTCCCTAAGCTTCTTGAGGTTAGTATTTTTATAATATTTGTATTCCCCCTCCCCCGCCATTGTCCAGAGAGCACTGCTAGTACTTGAACTAGAATATACTAGTCACTATTTGGTAGCATGGCACTATATAATGAAGGTCATGCCTATGTATCCATTTTCACATGTGTCTATATCCTTAAATAGGATTATATGTTGGAAATGGTGTGTTTATACCTTACATAACCTCATCTTCATTACTTAATATTAATAATAATTAAGTAATAGCTGGCATTCCT